TGGGGGGTGGTAGAGACACTGAGGCCTAGAAGAGGGGGCAAAGGACTGAGAGATAATCCTTGATTCCTTCCCACATCCCACCATTTGCCCCAGGGGGTCCCCTGCCCCTGTACCTGCAGTGCCCTCTGCAGACGAGCCCGCTCCCTCAGCTCCAGGGGCTCGGGCTGATTGCGCACTGCTGAGGGTGGCCCCAGCTCCTCCACTTTCCCCTTCTGCCTCCTCCTCAGGGGCTCTGGCTCCGGCCTCCTCCGGCGCTTCCCCAGGGGATGTGAGACCCCTCCCCCAGGGCCCTGCCCTGAAGGGAAGCTGTAAGAGGCCTCCTTATCCCCCCAGCCCCCTCCCGGACACCCCAAAGACCTCCCCATTTCTAGACGTACTCTCCCCCAGATTAATACCCTGAGAATTTCTCCCATCCCCGCTGGACCAGTGACCTGGTGGGGGCTCCATCTCCAGTAAGGGGCTCCACAGGGGGAGGGGTCCGGGCATGGAGACCAAACAAACACTTCCTCTTCTTAATCTCCCTCCCTGAAATGAAACTGGGCAAGGAGAGGAATGATACAGGGTCAGTGCTATAGATAATGTTCCCCTTATGCCACTCCTCAATCCCTTTCAGTCATACTCCAGGTGGGTTATAGCCCCTTCTTTCCCTTCCCTCTCCAACTTCCAAATCTCCATCTCTTTCTGAGCCTGCTCTTGTCTCCCTCTCTCTGCAACTCACCGGTCTTTGTGGCTGTTGAGAGCAGAGAGGAGCTTGGAAGAACGTTCTCCCTTGGGGGTGTCTGAAAGCTGGGGGAGGAAAATGGGGTCAGGGTGGCAGTGATTTCCTCTCTTCCCCTTTCCTCTACATCTCCCTGTCCCACCCCAACCCCCAAATTCCACAGCCCCTTACCTCCCCCAGGAGCAAACTGTCCCAATTCTCAGAGGTGAAAGGAAGGATTTCACGGTCGAAATCAAAGTACTTCTTCTTACAGCAAACACTGAGGTGATAGAGGACAAGATGGGCCACATCCACCCTGGAGAAACATGAAGTTGTCAGGGTTCCAGAAGCATTACAAAGCCTGGGGAGTTCAAGGTGGGAGGCTGGGGCATGTAGGGTGAAATACTGGGGGTGTTGAGAGTTATGCTGAAGTCGTGCTCAATCCAGCTCACCAGCGAAGCTGTAGCCTCCGGACCTTCTCAGGGCCCCCCCGGCACACACAGCACTCAAACTCATAGAACCTGGACATGGGCAAGAGGGAAAGGACACCACCTTATTCAGGAAAACTATGCCATGCCACGGCGGACACACAAGCAAGGATGGGGCGAACAAGGGAGCAAACACTGCAGAGGCTGGGAAGAGACTGAAGTGGAAAAGGGCCTGGGGAACTGAGGGTGGAGCGCACAAAGCCAGAGGGTGTCCTTGCCTCCTGGAGAGTCTGCCCTGGTCTCACCTGTCTCCATAGAGGAGGGGCTTGCTCAGACACTGGGTGCAGGCCTCATGGAACCACTGCAAGCAGCTGCGACACTGCAGCATTTTCAGATTCCACCTGAGGGGAAATGCAGGACTAGTAGCCTCCAGATGCCCCTGTCCCCATAACTGCCCCTAACCCTGTTTATCACCTACCTCCCATCCCCCTCAGTGCTCCCCACACTCTGTTCTTTCTTCTTCTTTCCCTGGGCTCTATCACATCACTTATTCCATAACTCGCTACCCCTCATTACTCACTCCCCAGGGCCACCACAGTAACAGTAGCTCTGCTGTCGGTTGCTCAGATGTCCAGCATCCCAGTCCAGCCCCTTTAGTCCGTATGGCAGAGACAGCTTCATCCCCAGCATGGCCCGGGCATAGGGGCCCTTCTTCAGTGCACCTCCTCTCTGCAGAGACAGAACAGGTGGGAGGCCATAGAGGGGCGTGGGAGAGGCTGTGGATGGGAGGCTTCCACAGGAAGGGGTAACCGAGATGTCTTTACCTTGGTGGCGATTGCAAAGACACACTGGCGGCAGACCCAGGATGTGCCTTCTCCCTCTCCAGGGGCTGGGGCCCTTGGAACATGGCAGTCCTGGTGATAAGCTGAATAATGATAATGTTGATAGTAGACTGCTTATTGCATTGCATACATGTGTGTGGTTAGTATTGCCATAGGAATAGTCTTACCCATCTCATTTAATCCTTGACCATGGTCCTGCTGGGGTGGGTGCATTATCCTTATTTTACAAGTGAGGGAAGTGAGGCTCCTAGAGGTTTAGGGACTTGCCCAAGGTCATATGGTTAGAAAAGGGTGTATTTGAACCACCCTCTGCCTGCAAAGCTTATACCACCCCTTTCCATGTGTGCCTCTCCCTGTGCTGGAAGGGGATGAGGTTATAGGCTTGAAAAGATTGGCCAGAGTGGTGGCCTGGAGACTAGAGGCCAGGACAGGACATAAGGACCAGTGCTATAGGGAAGGGCCAGAGGCAGCCTGGAAGGCCCAGGGAAAATTGGACCATTCAGGTGCCCTGCCCTCTCACCGTGGCGACACTTCTCACAGCTGACCAGCCGATTCCCAGGGACCACAGTGTCCGAGCGACAGACACAACAGAGGACTTCCTCCCCAGGGAGGGCAGCTGTGAGGGAAGACAGTGTCAGAGATCTTGCCCTTAAACCTCTTTCTGCCTCCCAAGCCAGGTTCTTAACAGGATGTACAATCTCAGCTAAACTCTCACCAGGGCTGATGTCTTTCCATAAAACCAGAAACTGGGAATCGTCCTCAAACTGGACCAGGCACACTTCCCGAGCACTGTCCACCTGGAATGGGTGAGCGCAGAGGAAATGGGAAGCAGAATTAGATAAGAGGAATGGGAAGGAGGTCAGAGGTAGAAGGCCTTACCTTCTTGATGGTGCCCAAGTATAGCAGCCCATCAGTCCACCTGGCCAGCACATCTTGGCCCTCCCAAAGTCGAGGCCTGGGGCCTGAGGTGGGAGCAGGGGAAGTTGGGTCCCAAAGTGAGTGGGCACCAGAGCGGCTCAGCCGGGGGGGCTGCGCCATTGCATCCTGGGGGGGCCTAGCCAGAAAAGAGATGGGGAAGAGGTTAGGAATGCTCAGAAAGCTTCCTCATTTTCTTTGCCTATTTCTGTCAAGTATCAAGCATCTGTGCTCCCAGTCTCCAAATCCGAGACACCTGGATAGGAAGCCACTGGGCACCAGTCACCAGCTTCTTGACTCTAGCTCTTCCAACTCTAGTGACTGGCTCTTCTCTTCCTAACTGCACCCCTCCCCCAAAACCTAGTTCTCTAGTTTCCCAGCTTCCAGAGCTCTCTTGGGATATTATATTCTGGCTTTGAGATTTTAGGAGAAATGAGACAGTTGCAGAAGCAAAGGTTACCATTCAGTTTCACCTTCCCCTGCTGTTTAGAGGTATCATAATTGGGGTGGTCTGTGGCCCAGAGATGTTTTGGGAGCTTTTCTGGAGATGTTTTCCAGAGTAGAAACGGCTGTCTCCTGGGCCTGCGTGTCTCATTAAGAACAACCATCCTGGTGCCAGGTTATGTCGGGTCACCCTCAAATTCGGGGCTCCTTGCCCCCGGGTTAGATAACTTCCCTGAGTGCCCCAGGAGGGGGGCGTGTCCCAGTCGCGGTCTCTACTCCCCAAGACCGCAAGTCCGAGAAGGGACTTAAGTCCACCCAGCCCGACCCAAGGCCAGGGCGGCGAGGCTCTCCTGCCTGGCGCGCCGACCCCCTGCTCCCTGCCCCCCCCACCGGCGCCTCCTGCCGCCTCCTTACCGGTGACAGCTGGGGCCGCCGGGAGCCGGGCAGGGGCAGACGTGGGAGACCTGGGCTAGCCCCCCGCGCTGGGAGGGCACGACCGGGCGTCGGGGGGCGCGCAGGCGGAGGCCGGGGGGTCCCTAGGCCCAGCCCCTCCGTCCCGGCGGCTCAGGGGCGTATGACGCAGCAGCCAAAGCAGCGGCAGCGGGAGGAGGAGGCGGCGGGGGGAAGGAGGGAGGGAGGAGAAGGGAGGGACGGACCGGCTTGGGGGAGGGTAGTGGGAGGGGAGGACGGGGGAAGGAGGAGCCGAGGGGGGGCGGGCACCACCTCACCCCACCTCCTTCACCTCCAACAGGCCTGGAGGGCGCAGAGCAAGAGGCTGCCCCTCCGCGGCTGTGGATGCGAACAGTCGGACCGGTGGGAGAGGGAATCCCCCCAGCCCCTTCCTCCGACGAGAGACTCGCCCTTGGGGCAAGGGGGAATCCCCCCAGCTGGCAGCCCGCCTCCGACTGGACCCCCGCCCCATGCCACATCCGTTAGCTGCCCCACCCCCCATGGTCACTCCAAGTCCCGCCTCCGGCCCCTTCCACTACCCCGCCCTCCATTCACGCTTCGCTTTGCCCCCGCCCCGCCCTCCTTCCTCGCGCGCCCCGCCCTCCTGGCCCCGCCCTCTCCATGGCAAGTTTGCCCCCCCCCGCCGCGCTTCCGCGCACGCGTAGCCCCTCCTGCGCGCGGCACCTGGGCGGACTGAGCCCTTCCTTTGCGGGGCGGCGGCCGTTGGCTGTTGGCGCGCGGGAGTCGGCGGGCGTGCGCGCCCGCTTCCCGTGCTCGTCCCGCCCCGTGCTTCCAGGGCGGGTGCAAGGATGCAGAGAGCCAGCCAATGGGCAACGGGCTGGCAGAACCCCGGCGGTTCGAACGGAAAGACAGGGAAAGGGCGGGAGGAAAGAGCCTGCAGTTGGTGGGAGCGAGCGCCGTCCCTGCTTTCGCCTCCGGTTCCACCTTCCTGCACCCACCAAAGGAGCGGTCCTGCCTGGGGCTGGGGTGGCCAGTAGTAAGGGCGAAAATTAGTGATCGTGGCGGGCGTGTGTGTAGCTAGTGGCCTCATCTCCTCAATGTGAGCGACGGGGGAGGGGGCATAAGGAGAGAGGAAGATGATCCAGACCTGGATCTAGAATCAGAGCTGAGGGAGAAACACCGAACCCCCCAACCCCCTGCAAAACGAATGGCAAAATGGACATCCACAGGTGCCGCCCTTAACAGATATGAAAAGAACCCTTCTCCTTAGCAAATGCAATAAAACCTTTATTTGAAAAACTTTTTTTGTTGTTGGTCTTTATTGTTTATACACAGTGCCCTCCACCCAATTAAGCATCCGTCAGCACCCACGCCCCCCAGTACACACAGGATCTGGATACGTCTTCACTTCCTGCAGGCCTGAGCAGTAGCAATAACACACTAGCTCACCGCCCTCCACCCAATTAAGCATCCCTCAGCACCCACCCCAAGTACACACACACAATATCTGGATCTGTTCTTCACTTCCTGCAGGCCTGAGCAGTACCAATAACACACTGGTTCACCTGGGGGCGGGGGAGGAGACGGTTAGACAGAACAAAAAAAGTTTGCAGAGTAACCAAAACAACAATTTTCTCAACATCTGCCCCCTTCCTCCCAGTGCTAGAGCGGCCCTCAAGAAAAACTGAAGTAAAGGTTCTGAAGGCAGGTTCAGGCTGGTCCCAGTTGTGTTTAGTTCTCCTATGTCCACTGGGCCTGGAGGAGGTGAAAAGGCCGAAGAAGAGATAGAAGTTTCCTACATAGATGAAGATTCAGGAACAGAGACTTCTCTTCCCAACAATACCCTGGTCTAGAGACCCCAAAACTCTCCCACTCTAAAACAATAACCTATTAACACCACCCATTCATGAAGTCTGCGGGAGAAAATGTATATGATGAATCAGAAACAAAGACTATTGGGGTCCTGTCTAGGAGCCAATTTGAAAGGGCTTCTACGGGCCAAAGATGGGATGACTGAACATCAGAATAACTGCAAAAGATAGACATCGAATACACAAGCATCTGCAAAATGATAACCCTCAGATAAAAACTCACTGGTCACCTTTGGAAGTTACTAGGGTATCAACTCCTAATACATTTGAAAACAATAAAGAATCTAGCAATTATCTTGCTTTTCTAATATGAACTGAACTTCAGAGTAACCAAATAGATGGCAAGGGAAAGTTCTCAGTTCTCAAAGGAGTCATTGCTGGGAGTGTGGTGACTCACACCTGTAATCCTAGCACTTTACGAAGCCAAGACAGGAGGATCACTTGAGGCTAGGAGTTGGAGACCAGCCTGAGCAACACAGCAAAACCTGACTTTATCTCTACAAAAAATAGAAAAATTAGCCGGGCATGGTGGCGTGTGCTTCTAGAGCCAGCCACTGGGGAGGCTGAAGCAGGATCGCTTGAGCCCAGGAGTTTGAGGTTACAGTGAGCTATGATGATGCCACTGCACTCCAGCCTGGTCAACGGTGAAGCCCTGTCTTCCTACTACCCCCCTGAAAAAAAAATCAGTATTTTAAAATCCCCCAATGAAATGATAGCTCTAGGGATAATCACTGTTTGATAGAATCATTATGTGAAAACGCCAATGAGGAGTTTTCAAATGGATGAAACAGGCTGTCAACACCCAAATCTAATGATCAATATATCATTAAAAGGGCCGGGCGCAGTGGCTCACACCTGTAATCCTAACACTCAGGTAAGCCACCAAGGCAGGTGGATCGCTCAAAGTCAGGAGTTCGAAACCAGCCAGAGCAAGAGTAAGACCCTGTCTCTACTAAAAATAGAAAGAAATTAATTGGCCAATGAAAAATACATAGAAAAAAATATTAGCCAGGCATGGTGGCACATGCCTGTCTATAGTCCCAGCTACCCAGAAGGCTGAGACAGAAGGATTGCTTGAGCCAGGAGTTTGAGGTTGCCATGAGCTGGGCTGATGCCATGGCACTCTACCCGGGCAACAGAGTGAGACTCTGTCTCAATCAATCAATCATTAAAAGTAGAACTAGACCAAGGCGGGTGGATCACCCAAGGTCAGGAGTTCGAGACCAGCCTGAGCAAGAGCAAGACCCTGTCTCTACTAAAAATAGAAAGAAATAAATTGGCCAACTAAAAATATATAGAAAAAATTAGCCTTGCATGGTGGCACATGCCTGTAGTCCCAGCTATTTGGGAGGCTGAGGCAGGAGGATCGTTTGAGCCCAGGAATTTGACGTTGCCGTGAGCTATGTTGATGCCACATCACTCTAACCCGGGCATGAGTGAGACTCTGACTCAAAAAAATAAATAAATAAATAAAGTAGCACTAGATATTAGGTGTCTCCTTATACAAAACAGGAGGAAGTAGACTACACCATCTATTAAGTTTTCTTGCCAAGAAATTTGAACTTGATTAAAACCTAATCAGGCTGGGCATGGTGGCTCACCCTTGTAATCCTAGCACTCTGGGAGGCCAAGGTGGGCAGACTGCTCAGATTGATAGAGGTCAGGAGTTCAAAAACAGCCTGAGAGTGAGAACCTGTCTCTACTAAAAATAGAAAGAAATGAATTGACCAACTAAAAATATATATACAAAAAATTAGCCGGGCATGGTGGCGAATGTCTGTAGTCCTAACTACATGGGAGGCTGAGGTGGGAGGATCACTTGAGCCCAAGAGTTTGAGGTTGCTGTGAGCTAGGCTGATGCCACGGCACTCACTCTAGCCTGGGCAACAAAGCGAGACTCTGTCTCAAAAAAAAAACAAAAAAAACCCCACAACCTAATCAAACTTCTAAATCTAACTACCAGGTAACAAAAAATATGGGGGGAAGAGAAAGCAACCAGCCAAAATCCAGAATATGATACATTCTATAGGATAAATAACCTTACTTCTTCAACAAATAAATGACATAATAGTGGCAGGGTAGGGTAGGGTTGTTATAGATGAAAAGAAACGAGATATTTCAACCAAATGATGTGGGTGGCCTTTGCTTGGACCCTGATTTGAACGAACCTAATGTATAAAAGACATTTCTGAGAGTCAGGTGAAATTTAACATAAATTGAGATTAGAGGATATTAAGAAGTTCATGTTGTTGGGTGTTATGTTGATATAACATTAATAAAAAGTTAGAAAAAAACACCACCACCCTTTTAATTGAACTTGCAAGACTGTGAGGGAAATCCTGATCAAAAGATCACAGCAGGGTGCAGGTGCTGAGGCAACTGGCTGCTCCATGGCAGCTGTCAACGCTCATTGGGAAGAAGCCAGAGCACCACAAAAGGACAGACCTGATCAGACCTCAAATAAAGCCAGAACCCATCAAAGAGCTATACACTCAGGAAAAGGGTAAACCAGAGGAAAATTTTACCCCCAGACACAGACAGTAAGGAGAATTTCTGACTTGCTTGACTCCAGAGGAAGGAGCTTAATTAAGTCTCCTTGAGAATCGATGGCCTCGTGGGGTTTGGAGCCTGAATTCATACTACTTGGAATAGTCCAAAAAACCCATAAATCTCCTTTGATCCAGCAATCCCATTTCAAAGAATATTTCCCTAGATAGTTAGATGTAACTAAAGACATATAAAATGACATGTACAAGGGTAGTCATCATGGCCTAGTTTGTACGAGAAAATGAATGGAAACAATCCAAGTGTCCAGTAGAAGGAACTGGTGGATAAATTTTGGTGCATCCGCAGAGTGGAGTCCTGGACAGACCTAAAACTAATAGGGTGATCTCTGTGTGCTGATGGGAAGTAACATTGGGGCCGTTTTGTTAAACAAAATAAATAAGACTCAGAACTACATGTATGTGAGAGAGGGAGACAGATGCCTTTTATAAAAGGAGGGGGAATAAGAACATGCATATGGCTTATATTATTAGCACAAAGAAACATTGGAAGGAGTAGAGCAGTGGTCTCCAACCTTTTTGGTACCAGGGACCAGTTTCATGGAAGACAATTTTTCCACCAACCAAAGGTGGGGGCAGATAGCAGGGCCTGTGTGGCCTGGTTCCTAACAAGCCACAGACTAGTACCTGTCTGTGCCACAGGTTTGGGAACTGCAGGGGCAGAGGATGGGGTGGACAGTGGTGGTGGTAAAACTTCATTGTGTTGTGTATCACTCTCCATATAGTTTAGACCTTTTAATCACCTCTAAAAAAAACTTAATTCAGAAGCCAATAGTTAAAAATAGAACCAGGTGAAGTAGTACCCTAGATGTCTGACAAATGTAAATCCTTTTGGGATAAATGTGCCCCTCTACCCCAATGGCCTAGTGGACAGAATGAGCTAGGATGGAGAAGCCGACAACCATCCATGGCTCCTGACAAGGCCTGAGCTTGGTGGTAACTGTACCTTGGAGGCAAAGCGTAGAGAGTTGAGGGTCTCAGAGACGTTCTCTTTTAGTGGCGAAATGTTCACAAACATGAGCCTATGGAAAGGGAAGATGCCCAACACCAGCATTAGTGGCCAGCAGAGCCTGAACAGGTCTCCACTCTTCCCCGTTTCCACCCCTCACTCCAACACAGTTCCTACCCTACCCCTGCCATCTATCCCTTTCACTCACATCTTAGCGTTGCCGCCCAGAGAGTTCTGCAGTAGGTAGGTGAGCTTGCTGTTCCGGTAAGGCACGTGGGACTCCTAGAGGGTTGAGGAGGGACAGGTGGTTAGGATTGGGCAGCGTTCCGCATGGCAAACCCTAACTGGTCCCAAGGTCCTATCTCCCCCTGCTCCTATTCCCACCTTGTTGCTTAGGGCCATGATGACCAGCCCCAATGCAGACAGGCTGCTGTTAATGGCCTGTGTTTCCCGAAGTCGTTCCCGCTCCCCAGGGCCGAGGACTAAGCCAGGGTCAAGCCGCTCACTCCCAGCCAGGTCCACAAGGCTGAGAGGGGCCCCACACTGCAGGCCTCGGCTAGAATGTTCTCCAGAGATCTGTAGCTGGAATACACTGTGGCTACGTGATGACCGCTCATTCTGGGCAGTGCGGGCCACGGCCCGGTTCTGATGGGCCAGCCGGAGCAGGGCCTCCACCTGCAGATGAGGAGCAACAAGGGGTAGAGACAGGCAGAAAGTCAGTACATATTCATGTTGGGTATAGTAATCAAAATGAGTTAAGTCAGCCCCTGCCCTCTTGGAGCTTTCTTTCTACCCAGCCAAGAGACAAAATAAAATGCACAGTATATCTGAGAATGCTAAGGAGTAAAATCACAAACTAGGAAGTGTGTGAAGGTGGGGTGGTGGGGAAGGGGAAAGTTTAGACAGGACAGCCAATGATGGCCTCACCACCTTAAGATCTCCAGGGCAGGAGTACTCAGGCAAAGGCTCTGAGATAGAAGTATGACTAGCAGGTTGAGAAACACCCTGGAGGCCAGCATGCTAGGATGAACTGAACAAGGTGTGTAGCAAGAAATGACATCTGAGAGGTAACTGGCAGGGGGCTGGTGACCCTCCCTCCATCAAGCAGATGCATCACTCCTCTCCCTCCTCTGGTTCTATTAAGGCAGATCTACCTTGCAGCCCAGCCAAAACTGAATGTGGTGATCTAACCTCCCAACTTGCCCTTCATCCTTCAATTTTCTCCTGCTCCTTTCTCCATCTACTTCCATCTCGTGGCAGCCTGCCTATTCCTCCCCATTCCCCAGTTCCAGCGACCACAGGTCCTCACTTCTTTCTCACAGGAGACAGGGACATATCGAGCATTGGTGACAGTAAGCTCCTCACTCCCTGGCCCTGCACGGCGAATCTCACACTCGCCCCCTTGGCCCTTCCGGGTTCCAGTGGCCAGCAGGTCTCGGACAGTCTCATTGTAGATCTCTACGTAGCTTGCCACAAAGCTGTAGGTCCAACCTTGGCCACTTAAATCCTGGGCCACGGAGAAGAGATGCCGCAGGGCTCGAGGGATCAGCCCCTCCAACTGGGGGTCTCCCCCAGGCCCACCCTCCATTGTAAAGGTCTTGCCGCTGCCTGTCTGGCCATAGGCAAAAATGCAGACTGGGTAGCCATCCAGGGCTGACTGGACAAGCATGGAAATCTCCTCAAACACTTCATCCTGTCCACTTCCTGGTGGGAATACCCGGTCAAAGGAGAAGTCGTGGCGGTTGGTGGGGGCTGGTGCCCCACTTAGGGTCCCACGCCGTTGGTCAGTCTGGGAGAGGGTAAGGCGGGTTGGAGGATCAGAGGGCCCACCAGGGCCAGAGGGAAACAGGAGGAAGCCAGAGGGTGGAGTAGGCTCCCCTGGAAGGACAGGGCGGACCCGGCAAAATACACGGATGTTGCCCTTAAGTTCCTGAAGCTGGTTGTGCAGTCGCCGGCGCTCCATTTCTAGTGCATAGATACGTTCTCCTCGCTCGGCCAGTAAGGCTGCCTGGGTTGCAGCCTCCTGCTGCAGAGATGCCACCTCTGCTCGGCTGTTTGACAGAGCTGCTTCTGATACCTGCAGCCGCCTCTGTCCAGAACAGAAGAGAACACACACAGAGCATGAGTGCAACCAAGAATAAGAACAAATCATGTAGCCAAGATGGAGTAGTGGGGTGGAGGTGGGGTCCCTGTCCCCATGGACCTCAGAGTCTGGTAAAGGAGAGAGGAGAAAATACAGAATCATGGTAGTAGGATAGGGAATGCTATGGGAATAACCAGGAGGGGCACATGAAGATGACATGGGCTGACACCCAAAAGTATAGGGATAAATCAAGGGAAAGATGGCATGCAGGAAGAACATTCCAGAAAGAGGGAAGCACACATACAAAATGCCCAGAAGTGAAACTTGAGTCATTTAAGAGACTGCAAGTAATTCAATCTAGTTGGTGCTCACCAGGAAGGAGTGTCCATGGGAGAAGAGACAGAGAGTACCATGGGGATTTGTGATCAGGATGGAGACCTGAAGAGAGATAGGGGCATGGAGGAGTAGGGGAAGACATGGATCCAGGTGGGAGCTATTGAAAGAGTCAAGGGTAGCAAAAAGTGTGGCAGAAAGCAACATAGTCAGGAGTAGACTAGGGGAGAGATAGGTAGAGGACAGCGGTATACTGCTGGAAATAGGTGGTCAGGGGTTCTCAACCCAAAAAGACTTCAGGGGCACCTGGAAGAGAGGGGAGGCACGAGCTCTGCTAGGAAAGAGGGGCTGGGCATTTGATGAGAATCCGGTCCTTACCTCTTGGTCTTCTAGTCGGGAGGTCAGTTGCCTCCGCTCCTCCTGCAATTCCAACTGTTTGTTCTGAAGTTCCTGAACCAAGCTCTCCTGTGTGCCCAGTCGTGCTTCCAGATTCAGGACACAGGCCCTGAGGTTCTTCAGCTCCTGCTGGCCCTGCTCAGCCTGGGCCTGTACCCTGGCCAACTCCCCTTCCAGTGTCCCACGCTCTAGTCCTAGGGTCTTGGCCTCTTGTTGGGCATCTCTGAGCTGGTCCCGCAGCTGCTGGTTCTCCTGGTCCAGTGTTTGAATCCTCTCACGACAGCATTTCAGCTCTGCATTTAGGTCATGTAACTGACCCTTTAAGTCCCAGGCCGGACGTTTACTGGGTTTCTTTCCTCCCACTACAGGAGGAACAGCTGATGCTAAGATGGTACAGAAAGGACAGAGGTCAGTGAAGTCCTGGCTCTCTATCCCTCCTCCCTTCTGGCCTTTAAGGCCTCCATACCTTATGCTCCATCTCTCTCCTTTCACTCCAGACAGGGAGGAGAATACATGGATTTTTCTGGGTACTCACCACCTCTTCTTCCCTATCCCAAGCCTCTCACCCAACGGTTACGTTTGTCACCTACTGCTAGGCTTCTGGACAGCAACAGCAGGGACTGGCTTCTGGTTCTTCACCACTAGAGAAATGGGGCATTGACTTAGGAATTACATGGGCCAGTGTCCCTCCACCTTCACCATTCTCCCTTTATATATACCCCAAATCCCTTCTCAGCCCCAGCTCTTAAGCACTATTACCTGTGGCAATAGCTGTGGAACACCGAGGCCCTGTCTTCTTGGAAACTTTTTGAGCTGTCCGAGAAATGGGAGAGGAAAAAGCAGAATGATCACCCTGAGGGTGGCACGTACACTGGCTAGGCCAAAGGCACAAAGACAGGGCAGGTGCTTTTCCTGGGAATTAGAAATGCGATAACTTCCTTCATCCCGATTTACTTATTTATTTATTTACTTTTCTTGAGACAGAGTCTCGCTTTGTTGCCTCAGCTAGAGTGCCGTGGCGTCAGCCTAGCTCACAGCAACCTCAAACTCCTGGGCTCAAGCAATCCTGCTGCCTCAGCCTCCCAAGTAGCTGGGACTACAGGCATACGCCACCATGCCCGGCTAATTTTTTCTATACTATTTTTAGTTGGCCAATTAATTTCTTTCTATTTTTAGTAGAGGTGGGGTCTCGCTCTTGCTCAGGCTGGTTTTGAACTCCTGACCTTGAGCGATCCTCCTGCCTCGGCCTCCCAGAATGTTAGGATTATAGGCATGAGCCAACACGCCCGGCCCTAGCTCCTAATTCTGATCCTTCCTGAGATCAGAAATTATAGTCATCCCTAATTATCCAACAGGATTGGTTCTAGGACTCACCCCAGAATACCAAAATCCAAGGATGCTCAAGTCCCTTATATAAAATGATATAGTATTCTACATCCTTCTGTATACTTTAAATCATCTTTATTTTTTTATTTTATTTTTTTTTTTTTGAGACAGAGTCTCACTTTGTTGCCCAGGCTAGAGTGAGTGCCGTGGCGTCAGCCTGGCTCACAGCAACCTCAATCTCCGAGGCTCAGCGATCCTACTGCCTCAGCCTCCCGAGTAGCTGGGACTACAGGCATGCACCACCATGCCCGGCTAATTTTTTGTATATATATTTTTAGTTGGTCAATTAATTTATTTCTATTTTTGGTAGAGACGGGGTCTCGCTCAGGCTGGTTTCGAACTCCTGACCTTGAGCAATCCGCCCGCCTCGGCCTCCCAAAGTGCTAGGATTACAGGCATGAGCCACCACGCCCGGCCTTATTTTTTTATTTTTTGAGATAGAGTCTCACTTTGTTGCCCAGACTAGAGTGAGTGCTGTGGCGTCAGCATAGCTCACAGCAACTTCAATCTCCTGGGCTCAAGCAATCCTTCTGCCTCAGCCTCCCGAGTAGCTGGGACTACAGGCTTGCGCCACCATGCCTAGCTAATTTTATATATATATATATATTAGTTGGCCAATTAATTTCTTTCTATTTATAGTAGAGACAGGGTCTCGCTCTTGCTCAGGCTGGTTTTGAACTCCTGACCTTGAGCAAGCTGCCCACCTCGGCCTCCCAGAGAGCTAGGAGGCGTGAGCCACCACACCAGGCCTAAATCATCTTTAAATTACTTTTAATACCTAATACAATGTAAATACTACATAAGTACAGTTATGTTCCACGTAACATTTTGGTCAACAACAGACTGCATACACAGTGGCAGGCCAGTAAGATTATATGGATCTGAAAATTCCTACTGCCTGGCAGACATCACAGCCATCATAATGTCATAGCATTACTCACCTGTTTGTGGTGAAGCTGGTATAAAAAAAACCTGTGCTGCCAGTTGTATAAAAGTATAGTGCATGCAATTATGTATAGTATATAATTATTTGATAAGATGACAGCTCTATGTATGTTACTGCCCTGAAGATCTTCTAGTAGGATAAGACGTGGAGGTAGAAACAGTTACATTGATAATCCTGACCCTGAGGAGGCCTAGGCTAATGTGTTTGTGTCTTAGTTTCAAGTTTATTTCCTGCAGGGGATGGGGGGAATGAATAAATTAAATTTTTTTTAATATAAAAAAGCTTATATAATAAGGATATAATGAAAAAATATTTTTGTAGTTGTACAAAATCTTTGGGTTTTTTTTAGACAGAGTCTCACTGTGTTGCCTGGGCTAGAGTGCTGTGTCATTAGCCTAGCTCACATCAACCTCAAACTCCTGGGCTCAAGAAATCCTTCTGCCTCAACCTCCCAAGTAGCTGGGACTACAGGCACATGCCACCGTGCCCGGCTAATTTTTTTCTATATATTTATAGTTAGCCAGTTAATTTCTTTCTATTTTTAGTAGAGATAGGGTCTCGCTCTTGCTCAGGCTGGTCTCGAACTCCTGACCTTGAGCGATCCTCCCACCTCAGCCTCCCTGAGTGCTAGGATTACAGGCATAAGCCACCATGCCCAGCCAAAATATTTCTTCTTATGCTAAATGTTATTACAAGGAGTCATAAGTTTACAAAGTAAAAAGTTATAGTAAGCTAAAGTTAATTTATTATGAAAGATTTTTTAAAAATAAATGTAGTATGCCCTAAGTGTACAGTGTTTATAAAGTGTGCAGTAGTGTACAGGAAGGTCCTAGGCCTTCACATTCACTCACCACTAATTCACTGACACCCAGAGCAACTTACAGTCCCGTAAGCTCCATTCATGGTAAATGTCCTATACAAGTATGCCATTTTATATCTTTTACATTGTATTTTTACCATACCTTTTCTATGTTTAGATATGCCTAGATACACAAATACTTAGCATTGTGTTAAAATTGCCTATAAAACTCAGTAAGTACAGTAACATGCTGTACAGGTTTGTAGCTGAGGAGCAAAAGGCTACACCATATAGCCTAGGTGTATAGTAGGTTATACCATCTAGGTTTGTGTAAGTATACTCTGTGATGTTCGCAAGATTATTAATTTCTAAGAACACATCACTGTCATTAAGTGACATTTGACTGTAGTTGTTTTACCGTATGGTTTTTAAATTTGTATTATTTTTTGTTGATTTGCTATTTTTTATTTTTTTTAAATATTTTCAATCTGTGTTGGTTGAATACACAGATGCAGAACCCATAGACACAGAGGGCCAACTCTATTCAATGTATCAAGAAGCAACTTGGACCAAGATAAGTAAAAAGAGTAGGAGGCCAGAACCATGTCTAAATTATGCTACCATTTGTATAAAAAAAAAGTCAGGGGGAAAGAGGGGGAATATGTCCATATTTGCTTGAATACCTGTAGAATTTCCCTGGAACGACATGCCTCTGGGAAGGGGAACTGGGTAGCTGGGGGACAAAGGCAGGATGGAGCCTTTTCACTGTACAATAATCTGTGGCCTTGGAATTTTGAATCAAGTGAAATGTTACTACCTATTTAAAATAGCCTAAAATAGGCCGGGCGCGGTGGCTCACGCCTGTAATCCTAGCACTCTGGGAGGCCGAGGCGGGTGGATCGCTCGAGGTCAGGAGTTCGAAACCAGCCTGAGCAAGAGTGAGACCCTGTCTCTACTATAAATAGAAAGAAATTAATTGGCCAACTAATATATATAGAAAAAATTAGCCGGGCATGGTGGCACATGCCTGTAGTCCCAGCTATTCGGGAGGCTGAGGCAGGAGGATTGCTTGAGCCCAGGAGTTTGAGGTCGCTGTGAGCTAGGCTGACGCCACGGCACTCACTCTAGCCTGGGCAACAAAGTGAGACTCTGTCTCAAAAATAAAAAAAATAAAATAAAATAGCCTAAAATTGAAAGAAAAGAAATAAGTTGAAGAGCGCTGGACTTCCATGCCCTTGGTCCCTCCCTGCTCACCCCTAGAGCCCACCTGTGGTCTGTGGCACTGTGGTGAGGGGTGGTGCTCTGGGGTAGGATGTGGCAATTTTGGTCGGTGCACCCAGGCCTCGTGTCCGCTTCTGGGGAAACATAAAAATGGGGTCTATAGCTACCCTCTCTAAATGGCTTATAATCAATCAATCAGTCTCACACTCACACTCACACACACACACACACGCCCACATGCGCACACTCACACATATATACACGCACAGCTCTCCACATCCAGCTCACCTTCTCAGGCTCCAAAGCATCCTCCATCTGGTCAGGTCTCCTCTTGAGTCTGCTTCCTGAGAGAGGAAGCCGGGAAGAGGCCTTAACCAGGGGTCTCTTCAGCTCTACGTTCCTCTTCACTTCTAACAGGGGGGACCTCTGCTGGAAAAGGAGACCCTTAAGACAACACTCAGGAGCCCAAATGTTCCAAGACCTTCCCTTCTTGCCCCTCCCACCCCCACCCCCTCCAAATTCTCAACATCACCACCAACAAGCATTAACTGAGTACCACACGTGTCAAAAGGTAGAACGCACAGATTGTGTGCCAGCCAGATAGCATGAACAGAAGTGGGACCTAACATAAAAGTGGGAATAATCTCTAAAAGGAAAGCTGCAGAGATGTTAGGACTGAGCTAACTTTAAGGGCAGTACTCAAACAAGCAAAGAAAAATGGAGACTCTTTTTAGAAGGCAAAAACTCAAATATGCACATGGTATCACTGGGAAACCAACAGAACATTTTAGCTGGAGCTGAGATTCATAAATAAAGGGAAAGAGTGGAAGATAGATAAGGCTGAAGACTGGTTGGGAGAAGCAGGTTACATTTGTTGAGCACTGTTTTAAATGCTTTACCTGTATCGATTTACTTAATCCTTACAGAAGCCCATTTTCAGAGGTGCTATTATTAATTCCATTTTGCAGATGAGGGAAGGAAGGCACTATCTCAGTAGTAGAATAGTTTGTCTAAGGTCATCAGCAAGTGAAAGGCAGAGCCAGAGCAAAATCTAGACAGTCTGGTTCCAGAGGCCATGGGTTTAACTGGCTAGACCACATTATCTCATAGGACTTTGATGCCAGGCTAAGGAGGCATTCGCCCTGCCTACTGTGAAAAGCCAGCTACGGTTTCTGATCAGGCATGTGAAAAATATACCATAGAATCTATTATAAAGAATAATAATGAGGCTGGTCACAGTGGCTCATGCCTGTTATCTTAGCATTCTGGGAGGCCAAGGCGGGAGGATGGCTCAAGGTCAGGAGTTCGAAACCAGCCTGAGCAAGAGTGAGACCCCATCTCTACTAAAAATAGAAAGAAATCAGCTGGACAACTAAAAACATATAGAAAAAAAAATTAGCCGGGCATGGTGGAACATGCCTGTAGTCTCAGCTACTCAGGAAGCTGAGGCAGGAGGATCACATGAGCCCAGGAGTTTTGAGGTCGCTGTGAGCTAGGCTGACACTACGGCACTCTAGCCCGGGCAACAGAGTAAGACTCTGTCTCTTAAAAAAAAAAAAAAAAAAGATTTTGTTTTTCTACCTTTTTTTAAGAGAAAGGGTCTTGCTTTGATACCCAGGCTGGTCTCAAACTCCATGCCTCAAACGACCCTCCTGCCTCAGTCTGCCAAGTTGCTGGGATTACAAGGTGTGAGCCACCACACCTGGATGGTTTTGTTAACTACACTTTTTATGTTAAGATCATTGTAGATTCACATGTAAGAAATAACACACAGAGGCCAGGCATGGTGGCTCACGCTTGTAATCCTAACACTTTGGGAGGCCGAGGTGGGAGGATTGCTTAAGGTCAGAAATATGAGACCAGGCGGGCGTGGGTGGGCGTGGTGGCTCACGCCTGTAATCCTAGCACTCTGGGAGGCCGAGGCGGGCGGATCGTTTGAGGTCAGGAGTTCGAAACCAGCCTGAGCAAGAGCGAGACCCCGTCTCTACTATAAATAGAAAGAAATTAATTGGCCAACTAATATATATAGAAAAAATTAGCTAGGCATGGTGGCGCATGCCTGTAGTCCCAGCTATTCGGGAGGCTGAGGCAGGAGGATCACTTGAGCCCAGGAGTTTGAGGTTGCAGTGAGCTGACATAACACTACTGTACTCTAGCCCAAGCAACAGAGTGACACCCTATCGGAAAGGGAAAGGGAAAACAAATAACATAGATCTATCTGAGAGTACCTGAAGAGCTTGTTTTTAAGAGATGCTAAGTTTGGCTTTGGGAAACTGAAACAATCTGATACCTTGCTTTTTGTTTTGGGTTTACTTGTTTATTGTCTTTCCCTACATTAGATTGTGAGCACCATAAGAACTCATGTGTTTTTTCATAACTCTATAACCAGAGTGCCCACTACAATGTCTGCTATATGGTAGGACTCTATGATTCTTTTTTTCCCCTTTTTTCTTTTTCTTATTTGGGCATATTATGGGGGTATAAACTTTAAGGTTTCAATAAATGCCCTTTCCCCCTCTCCCCCCACAAGTCTGAGCATGACCATCCTCCAGATGGTGTACATCTCACTCATTATGTATGTATATACCCGCCCCTCCCCCCAACTCTATGATTCTTGAAGGAATGAAATCAAATATCCATCAGTGGGGGATACTTAAAATAAACTGATAGCCAAACATGGTGGCTCGTGCCTGTAATTCCAGCACTTTTGGAGGCCAAGGCAGAAAGATCACTTGAGCCCAGGAGTTGGAGACCAGCCTGGGCAACATATTGAGACCCTGTCTCTACAAAAAAATTTAGAAATTAGCCAGGTGTGCTGACGCACCTATAGTCCCAGCTACTCAGGAGGCTTAGGTAGGAGGATCATTCAAGCCCAGGCCCAGGAGTTCAAGGGTGCAGGTGAGCTATGATTATGCCACTGCACTCCAGCCTGGATGACAGAGCCAGATTCTGTCTTTTAAAAACAAACAAACAAAAACCCTGATACATCCAAACCATTGGTTTCTATACAAATAAAAAGAAAAAAAGAGATGGCATTTTTTCCCCTACTACCTGGAGAAGTGTGCAAAAATAATGTTTATTTTTAATTTAGCTTAATCAAATATAGTATGAAAACCAAACTTTTCTTTAAGTATTCCAAAGTCGAACACTAAATTTTTTAAATAACCTGTGCCCTTTCTTCTCTACACTACCATAGTGCATCTGCTACAAACCCTATTTCCTCAGAATTTATGTGGATTCAGAAAATGAGTTCAAATGTTTGTTTATTCAGGACAACTTCAAAGAGTACAGCATTTATTTCTCTACCATCAATAAAGGTAGACACGATGCCCTCCAACTTTCCACAATGGAAAGCGTAAGTGCTACTCTAAGAACAGACATTCATGCAACCCCTCCTACATGCACTTTACAGGAACACAGATGGCTCCTAAGGCAGCCCCTCCCTGTGTGCACCACATCCCACCCTCCTCACCAACTCAGGAACATTCCTTCAGCAACCCTCCTTTCCCTCCTCTACACCATCAACTTTTCACTCTACTGGATCATTCCAATTGGTGCACATGTAACACGTGCTATTATTTCTTCCAACCTCAAAGAGTCTCTTGACTCTGCTTTCCCTGCCAGCTACTATCTATCTTTTTCCTTGCTGCCCTATGCAGCAAAACTCCTCAAAACTGCTGTCTGAAGAGTATTTGCAGCACTCTGGGAGGCTAAGGTGGGCGGATTGCTCAAGGTCAGGAGTTCAAAACCAGCCTGAGCAAGAGTGAGACCCTGTCTCTACTATAAATAGAGAAATTAATTGGCCAACTAATATATAGAGAAAAAATTAGCCGGGCATGGTGGCGCATGCCTGTAGTCCCAGCTACTAGCCCAGGCTAGAGTGAGTGCCATGGCGTCAGCCTAGATCACAGCAGCCTCAAACTTCTGGGCTCGAGCAATCCTGCTGCCTCAGCCTCCCTGAGTAGCTGGGACTACAGGCATGCGCCACCATGCCCGGCTAATTTTTTAATATATATATATATATATATATATATATTAGTTGGCCAATTAATTCTTTCTATTTATAGTAGAGACGGGGTCTCACTGTTGCTCAGGCTGGTTTCAAACTCCTGACCTTGAGCAATCCGCCCTCCTCGGCCTCCCAGAGTGCTAAGATTACAGGCATGAGCCACCGCGCCTGGCCTGAAATGTTCTTTCTTCACTATCCACTTGCCTATTTCTCTCACTTCCCTCAGGTCTTTATTTAACCCTCACCTTCTCAATAGGGCTTACTGAGACCATCCTATTTAACATTCTATCATGCCAGTTGACCTCCTCTGCTTCCTCTAACCTGCCTGAATTTTCCTTTTCTCCATAGCACTTATTGCCTAATAGTCACGTAATTTACTTATTATGTTTATTTTCTGCCTTCCCATCAAATGGCAGCTCCACGATGGCAGAGATTTCTGCCTTGTTCACTGCTACTGCCTAGAAGTACCTACAACAGTACTTGGCACATAGTAAGTGCTCAGTAAATATCTGATAAATAGATCTGAGAAGTCTTTTACTATTTCTCACTGTCACATCACACTCCTCTGATCTTTGGTTGACAGGATAAAAAGAATACCCTTGAGGTTGAATCCTGACTTTGGGTAAATCTGAATGTCACATACTAAAAAACAAAGGATTCAGGCAGGAGACCTTTCCTGGCACCAGAGGTCTATACACACACTCATCTCTATCTACTGGAGGGTGGAAGCTGTAGATGGTTGTAGGGTACAGCAGGGCACCAATAAGACAAGGAACTAAGTCAACCAGTCCCTCTGGGCAGGAATCTGCAACACCTGAGGAAGGAGAGAGAATGAGGAGTCTTTCAGCCCAGACTGTCCCACTCCCTGTCTCTCCTTCCTACATCCGGAAGCAACAGCAATGACAAGAGAGACAACACAAAAGGACATCAGCAGGGATGTGGCCTCATATAACCCGTTTTTTTAGGCAAAAAAAAAAAAAAAATGTTTTCGCAATAATGTTTTTGGTTCCCTCATACTTCAAATGAGTTTTCAGTGTTCACATTATGGCTGGGGCTGGCAGTTCTAAGTGGCCTTGACAGTAAGATTTATCTCAGCCTTGGTTAACTTAGCAGCTACAGTCTCATTAGGCAGAAAACAAAGAACTCTTTAACAAAATTTGCTAACCAGGACTTTGTAACTTTCTGTTGTAGTGATGCATTCTTTTGAGTTTCTTTCCCTGGAATGGTGAACCTCCTACAAAAGCCTCACACCACCTGAAGATAAGATAAGCAATAGTCCACCACAAACTGTGCCTGACAGACCCACTGAGCCTGTGTGTGCATAAGGTTGAAAGAATGACCAATATTAACCCCTAGTTCACTATAATACTAACATCTTCACCCTGGGAGGGACTTACCTGCCATTTTTCGATCATGGGATATATGTACTAGCATGATTTCTCACTACGTTTGAGTGCCCTGCACTCCACCCCAAACACATGATGCTCACTCCACTCATGTGTTGTTCATTTCGCCTGCAGAAACGCCCCCACCCCCACCCCGACTCTGTTGGTGGTGAGGGCGGATTTGAGGGAGTGCATACCTTCTTCTCCCTGTTGATGCACCCACAGAAATAAATCCTTTCCTCCTGACAATCCTTGTTGTCTCAGTAATTGGCTTTCTGTGCGGCAGGCAACACTGAACCCCCCTGTGGGTTTGGTAACAATTTGGGAGCTCTTCCAGGATGCGTGCTCGTGGCTTGGAGGCCATGGAGCAGGGAGAGACTTTAAAGCCTCCCTAGTGACTGCCTGGCTGAGTTTCTGCTGGAGGCTGGTTTTGGTTTCTCCCACTAGCTTCACTGTCACCAGCCCCAAACACATCCCTGGTTGTCAAGGAGAAATGGCTCTTAGGCCTTTGCATTTTGGCATTTGTGCTAGCATAGGTGAGTTCTGTTTTAAGGTACCACTCAGCAGAGTACTCATCTCACCACCTGGGGAAATTCTCTGGAATTCTCATCTGGGTTGGAGGCCTCACTAGAAGCCTCAATCATTTGAGAGAGCAGGACCTTCAGGCTCTTCTCTCCATTTAGGGAATTTCAGAGGAAATCCCATGTGGATTGCAAGCCTCAACCATTCATTTGGGAAAAGCAGGACTTCTGAATGTTATTTGGCACTCCCTAGGCTTATTTGTTAGAACTGCAGTCCATTTGATGTGTGAGTGTTTGTGTGACTATGGGAAATGAGAATTTGATCCCTAAATGTAAAACTTGTATACTGGGAATCCTCTGTCTCTGCTGTTTGGGCTTTTATGCCATTTAGACCTAGGACAGGTTGTTTGTGGTAATAGTTGGCTTGAGATAAGATTCTTGAAAACTTCTCTCCAGTCTCCCTATGTAGAAATTTGTTTGAAAGTATTCTATTTGTTTTGAGCTTTGCTTTGTCTAATGTGGTGTTCCTGGGCTTGTGTTTGAAATCTTTTAAATTTCTTTGTAATAGTATTTATCTATATTAGTATGTGACATATAAATGTGTTATCTATGATAAAGTTTAAAGAGATGCCAGGTTTTCTAGGACTCCAGCTGGTCTCCACATATTATGTTCTGTTCTTGTGCATGTTTAAATTGATAGACAAATTACATCAAGAAAATCTCACAGCTCAAATGGTCAATCTGCCATTACAGAGTTAAAATGCAAAGTTTGTTAAGCTGTATTTTTTGCCTGGTAAAGCTTTGGTTGCTAGGCTACAGGGTGTTGAGATGGAGCTCAATGAACTATGTTATCATAAACTCAAGGCCAACTGGGATCAGCCAGTTACTCATTTGAAACTGAAGGAAAATAAAGGTTAAAGAGGCCTTAAAAAAAAAACCTCAGGCCGGGCGCTGTGGCTCACGCCTGTAATCCTAGCTCTTGGGAGGCCGAGGCGGGCGGATTGCTCAAGGTCAGGAGTTCAAAACCAGCCTGAGCAAGAGTGAGACCCCGTCTCTACTATAAATAGAAAGAAATTAATTGGCCAACTGATATATATATAAAAAATTAGCCGGGCATGGTGGCACATGCCTGTAGTCCCAGCTACTCGGGAGGCTGAGGCAGGAGGATCCCTTGAGCCCAGGAGTTTGAGGTTGCTGTGAGCTAGGCTGACGCCACAGCACTCACTCTAGCCTGGACAACAAAGCGAAACTCTGTCTCAAAAAAAAAAAAAAAAAAAAACCTCAAACTGTCATGAAAACTGCTTTACCCAATACTTTAGTCCATGGTTTTCATTACAATACCTACTGGGACAACTAAAGTTTGGCCATGTGACCAAGTCCCAACTTTGTCAAAAACAATTTAATCCAACTGTCTTTTACAAATTGGTCTCAATATGGCTATGAACCTGCAAAGAAAAAATGGTATATTTGTGCACTACTGCCTAGCTATAATACACCCTCAGGTCTAGGGAAACGTGACCCCTTAATGGATCATTAGGCTACCATATTATTCTCTAATTAAATTCATTTTGTCACCATGTTGGGAAATGGGATGAAATCCCTTATGTAGTCTTTTACACTTCTGTATCAAAAAAAGGCAGATCAAATTAAAAATAAGATTCTAATATAGAGGACAGATGCTTTCAAGATTGGGGAACAAGCAGCAGCTAGATCTAAGAAACCCATCTTGCCAACAGAAGAAAATGCCCACAAAGATCTCTGGGCAGCTGCAGCAGCAGCTCCATCTGTGCCTGTGCCAGCTCAGGCTCAAGCTGTGGCTGAGGTGCCAGTGGAAGCTTCGACTTCAGTACAATTACTCTCAGAGTCCCTCTCCTAACCCTCCTGCTCTCCTTTATGACTCTAGACCCCTTTCTTCACCCCCTCTGGCTCCTCCAGCCATCTATCTTTCACTTTCTTCCTTCTCTGGGGATAGTCTTGGGAAGCATGAGGACATGGTCCCTCCTTCACACACTCGGCAGGGTACAAAATTTGGATGGGGTCCTCACTCCTTCCCAGCAGGGCAATTTCCTTTGAGGCAGGTCCCTATAGGAGGAATAAATGAGAATGAACAACCAGCTGGATTAATGTGAGTTTATGTAGCCCATTTACCACTTCTGATTTGTATAACTGTTAACAGAATAACCCTGCCTACAGGGATGATCCACAGCGTAAAACTGATCTGCCTGGCCGGGGGCGGTGGCTCACACCTGTAATCCTAGCACTCTGGGAGGCCGAGGTGGGCGGATTGCTCAAGGTCAGGAGTTCGAAACCAGCCTGAGCAAGAATGAGACCCCTGTCTCTACTATAAATAGAAAGAAATTAATTTATAAAAAATTAGCCGGGCATGGTGGCGAATGCCTGTAGTCCCAGCTACTCAGAGGCTGAGGCAGGAGGATTGCTTGAGCCCAGGAGTTTGAGGTTGCTGTGAGCTAGGCTGACGCCACAGCACTCACTCTAGCCTGGGCAACAAAGCTAGACTCTTTGTCTCAAAAAAAAAAAACAAAAAACCTGATCTGCCTGAATCAATTTTTGCCATGTATCATCACATACGGGCAGATATCCAGAGCCCGCTTAACATATTGTTAACCTCCAAGAAGCATCACACTGTCCTAGAAAAGGATAGAGAAAAAGCTGACAATGTATACATAAGACCCAAATAACCAGGTGAGAGCTGGAGCAAACCTGGCCATCCTGACTCATGACCCCAACTGGGACCCAAACAATGGAGATGAAGGTAGGATTCAACATTTTCGAGACTGCATCTTGGTTGAGCTTAGAAAAGGGGTCCCCCAAATTAAAAGCCTGAACAAAAAAGTTCAGGGAATAAAACAGGAAACAGATGAAGATCCCTCAGCCTTCCTAGAAAGGATTATGGAAGCATATCAGAAATACACTGATGTAGATCCAGAAAGTCCTGATAATTCAATGTTAATTAATATGAACTTTGTTGTCCAGAGCATGCCTGATATCCAGCAAAATTTACAGAAGTTAGAGGGGGTTCTTCGCCCATATCTCATTTAGTTGAAGTGGCCTTTACAGAGACTTTTTAAAAGTCTTTGAAAATTATTTTTTCCAACCACTGGATCGTGCTGTTGGGAATTCTTTCGTTACACACAGCTCTCCATACGTGCCTAAGTGGCCTCTCCCATTGCTGGGTAGAGACGATCTCTCTAAACTACAGGCTCAAATAATCTTTCAGAATAAACAATACTGAAGTTCCTCCAGAACATGCCAGTGCCATAAAAGTGGGAGAAAAGCTGATTCATTTCCCAAATTTATTACAGCTGCAACCTACTCAGTTTTAAACTTTAAATTAGCTAAGCTTACTAAAGACTCAATGCTGGCAACTGGGTTTTCTGGAAATCCCTCCCAAAATTATTTTCTCCAACCACTGGATTGTGTTGTTGGGAATTCTTGCGTTACACACAGCTCTCCATACGTGCCTAAGTGCCCTCTCCCATTGCTGGGTAGAGACTTTCTCTCTAAACTACAGGCTCAAATAATCTTTCAGAATAAACAAGTAAATACTGCAGTTCCTACAGAACATGCCAGTGCCTTGCGAGCAGCTCTACGTGCCTCCTGGGCTGTCCTTCAGGAGCTGCCAGTTGTGGGAGGACAGAGATGTCCCTTCTGACCTCCCGGAGCTGCTCCCTGCAGTCTCCAGTCGCTCCTCCGCCCCTTTCCACTGCCGCGGGGCCACACGGAGCTTCCCTCTCCGGGCAGGCATGACAAAGGCCGGCTGACAGCAGGGTGCTCCACAGCCTCCGGGCGGCCAGCAGTCGTCCCTGCCCCCGTAGCGGGACACCCGCGCCCGCCGCTACTCACCTGCGGCTCCATGTCCACCTGCGTCCCACACGCGTCGGGGGAGCGCAATGAAAGAGGAATGGCCGCTGGGGATCCCAGGACGCGCGTTCTATCGCCCGCTTGCGACGCAGAGCACGCGCGCTACGGGCTCCGGCGGCTGCCAGCCCGGCGCCACCCATGCCACTTTTGAATTCCAACGGCCCACACTTTCTCACCGCGCTCCGTAAGCAGAGGCCAATCGTCGTCGTCGCCACAGCGAAGGGCCAATCGCAGCGTCCTCCGCCTCCGGAGGCCACAGCCCCCGGCTGCGCAGTCCTATTTGGAGTCGCGGGCGCGAGGGAGGCAGGCAGACAAATTCCACTTCCGGCCCACTTTCTCCCCTCACCCCGCCCTTCCTCTAGCTGTGATCCCGCGGGATTTTACACCCGGCTCCCCGGCGCCGCTCAAACGTCAGCAACTGCGTGCAAGACAACGCACGAACGTAACTGTGTGAAAGCAACTGGTGTCCGGGCTGGGGGCGGATAGGGGAGGGACGCTAGGGCACAGGAATCACGCGTGCGCAAAGCAGGACCTGTGCGGGGCAAGGGGGTGGCGAGCGCCCCCTAGCGCCCTGCAGTAGGGAGCGCACTTGTCAGCCCCCACTGCGACCACGTGACTGGGGCTCCAGCGCGGCCTCTGCTGGTGGGGCTTCAACTGGTTTCGGAAGTGGACGTTGGAGCTCTGGCTGCGGCGTGAGAGGCTGGATCTGCCCGCTCGTTGGTCATTTCCTGTTTCTCACCAAATTTAGGGACCTTGGGTTCAACTTGGCATTTCATGGAAGCCCGACGGTGGGCATTCGAGGCTCAGTCCCCTTTCTCCCCCCAGCTCCTACGTACCTGGGCGCCTGTCGCTGGTGCTGGGGAACTGTCTTACAGCCTTCGGAACCTCGAACCAGGGGAGGGCTTACTGCTTCCATTTTTGGAATATTTTATGTCTTTCAGACTCTGCACATGCATTATTTCGTTTAATAATGGCAAACATTCACTGAGCTCTTACTGTGTGCCAAGTTCTTTGCATAGAAGGAGACAGGTTTAGAAAGGTTAAATGACAAGTACAAGGTCACCTGGCTGGTCAGGAGTGGATTCAGATCACATGAGCTTCAAAATTCAAGCTGTTTCTGTTAACTCACATTGCCTTTTTGCAATCTTAGTAACAAAAACAGCAACCCCTTCCGTGTGAATAATGTGCTAGTTTGCAAAGTGGTTTTACCAATTTATTCATCTGAGTTTCCGTCCAGTCCTAGGGGTAGGCAGGACAGAATTTTATTTATGAGAATGAAAGGCGGGTGACTAAAGGGTCTGTTACGGACTTAGCGAACTGTTGCGGATTGGCAGGGCTGGAACTTAAGCTGTCTTCTAATTCGTTGCTTTAATTTGTATTCAAACCAGTTTGTGGAGGGAAACACAGTGGGGAGACACTTAGACTGTCTGAAAACCCCAACCATTGATATCCTGGGAAAACTAAAAAGCAGGAACTTGAAAAGACAGAAGTAAAAGAGGAAACCGGAGAAGACCAACACTTAATGGTAAAGGGAGAGAACTGAAAAGGGAAACCTGAAAAGAAATGTATAGCAAAAGATATTTATTGGCTGGATGCGGTGGCTCACGCCTGTAATCCTAGCACTCTGGGAGGCCGAGGTGGGCAGATCGCTTGAGGTCATGAGTTCGAAACCAGCCTGAGCAAGAGCAAGGCCCCATCTCTACTATAAATAGAAATTAATTGGCCAACTAATATATATAGAAAAAATTAGCCGGGCATGGTGGCGCATGCCTGTAGTCCCAGCTACTCGGGAGGCTGAGGCAGAAGGATTGCTTGAGCCCAGGAGTTTGAGGTTGCTGTGATCTAGGCTGAGGCCACGGCACTCACTCTAGCCTGGACAACAAAGTGAGACTCTGTCACACACACACAAAAAGGTATTTATCAAAGTTAAGAAGCAAACGTTAGACTAGGGGAAACATGGACTCATAAACAGATTAAAGGGGGAAATATTTATTCATCTCAGTTTCCTTTTTTGTTTTTATGAGACAGAGTCTTACTCTGTTGCCCAGGCTAGAGTGAGTGCCCTGGCGTCAGCCTAGCTCACAGCAACCTCAAACTCCTGGGCTCATGTGATCCTCCTGCCTCAGCCTCCCAAGTAGCTGGGACTACAGGCATGTGCCACCATGCCCAGCTAATTTTTTCTATATATTTTTTAGTTGACCAATTAATTTCTTTCTATTTTTAGTAGAGATGGGGTCTTGCCCTTTCTCAGGGTGGTTTTGAACTCCTGACCTTGAGTGATCCTTTCGCCTCAGCCTCCCAGAGTGCTAGGATTACAGGCGTGAGCCACCACGCCCGGCCTCTTTTTTTTTTTTTAAGACAGTGTCTCGCTCTGTTGCCTAGGCATGAGTGTAATGGCATCATCATAGCTCACTGCAACCTCCAACTCCTGAGCACAAGGGATCCTTTCACCTCAGCTTCCCCAAGTGCTAGGATTACAGCCCTGAGCCACCACACCCAGCCCTTTTTATTTCAGTTGATGCAGAATAACCACTCAAAATATTCAAAACTCATTGATATTAAATGGAAAAAACCCATAATCCAATAAGGAACATCTTCAAAAAATTCTACAACACACATCACCATAATGGTGAAATGTCTAAAGCATTCCTCTTAAGATGAGGAACAAGGCAAGGATGCCTATTCTCAATAAACATCATCATTGGTACCAACTGAAACACACGAAAAAGAAGAAGGAAAAAATCGTCTTCAATACAATAATGGAAGTTTCGGCCAATCCAGTAAACAACAAATAGAAAACAACTAGAAAGAAACAACAGTGTCAGTATTTGCAGACGAAATTATTGCATGTGTAGCAACGCTAAAAGAAAGTTCATTGATAAGTGAGTTTAGCAAGGTTGCTGGCTATAAAATCAAGAGAGAAAAAAATCAATATATAAAATCAATTGCAGGGCCTGGCGTGGTGGCTTACGCCTCTACTACGAGGGCGCTGAGGCGCCTCACGTGAGGCAGGGGCTCTCTTGAACCCAGGAGTTCTCGCAGGTGCTGTGAGCTAGCTGACACCAGGGCACTCACTCTAGCCCCTGGCAACAAAGTGAGACCCTGTCTCAAAATAAATAATAAGCAAATAATACTGAAATAAATGAAACAATAACTCATTGCATTTTTTCTAAATACAGAGTCTTGCCTGTGTTTGCCAGCTGTCTCGAACTTCCTGGGTCCAGCAGGTCCTCCTGCTTAGTCTCCTAGTGGTGCAAGAATCTAGATAGGCACATGCTACTGTGCCGGCTTAAATCAATTGCTTTTTCATCAGGCAATGTTCAATTTTTAAAGTTAACTTTTAAAAATGGTACATTTGTGGCCAGTACGTGGCTCTGCCTGTAATACCAGCACTCTGGAGGCCAAGGTGTTGATCGCTCAAGGTCAGGAGTTCAAAACTAGCGTAAGCAAGAGCAAGACTCTGGTCTCTCTAAACAAATAGAAAGAACATTAATGGCCAACAAAATATATACAGAAAAAAAAATTAGCCGGGCATGGTCGGCGCATTGCCTGTAGTCCAGTTACCTTTGGAGGCTTGAGGCAGAAAGGATTGCTTGAAGCCCAAGGAGGTTTGAGGTTGCTGTGAGCTAGGCTGACCCCAGGGCCTCTACTGGGCAAAAGAGTGCAGACTCCTGTCCTCAAGAAAATGAAACAATTGTAACTGTTCGGTTTACATGAATATATAACATATGTAAAAAATCAAAGCCATAACCTTGACTTTACGTACCTTTATTTTTTATTTTAATTGTCATTTAATATTTTTTGAGACAGAGTCTCACTTTTGTTGCCCTGCTAGAGTGAGGCCCTGGGCACCAGCCTAGCTCCACAGCAACTCCAAACCCTGCTCATGTGATCACTCCGCCTCAGCCTCCCAAGTAGCTGGACTACAGGCATGCACCACCATGCCCGCTAAATTTTTTTGTATAATATTTTTAGTTGGTCTCAATTCAAATTTCTTTCTATTTTGTAGTAGAGACGGGATCTCGCTCAGGATGGTTTTCGAACTCCCAAACCTCGAGCAATCCGCACCGCCCTCGGCCTCCAGAGTGCCAGGATTTACCAGGCGTGAGCACCTGCCCGCCATATGTATTATCTCTATATCCAATGAAAATTTTAATGAAAAATACACATTTGCAATAGCAAAAAATATATAAAGTACTTTAGAAATAAATTATAACAATAGATGTTGCAAC